TATAACCATAATATGAAGTAATTGATCACAAGAATAAAATAATTTGCAAAGACAGATTTTATTATAATATGAAGAAAAAATACAAAAATTTGTGTTTACAATGTTTCTAACTTCTTACTACATTATAATGAAGAGCCACTATATATAGGAAATAAACAGAGAACATCCAAACCCTAATAGTAAAGTTGTAGTTGAAGTAGAATACAAGAAACAGAGTAGAGGAAGAAAAATCACGCAGGGATAAAATAGACATGTGTCATCTTAGTGCCACCTGGGCGGCGCCGTTGCGCCCCGAGCTCGACATCGCAACGCCGGGCCAAAAATTTCTACTCCCAATTGGGCTTTCAAGTAGAATTTCAATTAGAATTCGTCAAATAAACTTGAATATGATTTCACAATAGCATTTCAAATAAAGTTCTTTTTAATGTGTACCTTAATTAGAACTCTCAATTATTTTTAAATAAAAAATTCGAATCACGCTCAAATTCTAACAAGCCTGAAGCTGAAAATAATCAAAAGAATGATCATTTGCAATAAGTAAACCACCTTTACGAAAACACCTAATTGACTAGGGATAGAGTAAGGACGTAGATTTGACCATTTGAATAGTATGGCTATGCAGACTTAGTGTAACTCATTGCATCCCAAGAAAATATGAATGACGAACCTATAACTTATTCAGAAGCTTCAACGAGTAAAAAATAAAAAAAAATTGGCACAAGGCTATGTAAGAAGAAATTAACTTATTGAATAAGAATAAAACTTGGGAATTGGTAAATAAACATGTGGGTAAACGTAAAGGGAAAAATTCATAAATAAGGTGTTTAGTTTACACCAATTCAAAAATCGTGTTTATAGTTTGAAAATTCAAAAATCAGGTTTTTTTTAATTAATTATAATATAATATAATATAATAAACACACCCTACATGCACCACCCCTACCGCTCCGGGGACTAATCTGGTGACCATTCAGGCGACCACTCTTCTCCGGCGACCATTCCGACGACTGCTCCGATTGCGGCGACTATTCCGATGACCATTCCGACGACTATTCCGACAATTATTTTGGGCACAGATTTATAATTGAATTAGTCACATATTATTTTTCAATCACAAATTCTAATTTTTATACGTCACATCAAATACTAATTTTTATACGTCACATATTATTTAATGGTCACAGTTCAAAAATTTTATAGGTCACATTTAATTCGTTGGTAACAGATTTCAAAATTAGTTAGTCACGTATCAAAATTTATAGGTCACACGGTCACAAATTTCCAAATTAGTTGGTCACATATTTTTTTACGGTCACATATTATATAATTTTTAGGTCACAGATAAAAAAATGGTTAATTTCATTGGTCACATATTTTCAAATTTGTTGGTCATGGATTATTTTTCAGTCACATATTGTCGAATTTTTATGTCACAGTTAAATATTTGGTCACAGATAACCAAATACTTGGTCACATACCACAGCCACTACCACCACACAAAACACCGCCACCACCCACAACCACCAAACATAGCACGGCTACCACCCCAACATAACCGTCTCCACNACTTTTACAATCGTTTATCAAGTGCTTATTTTTCTTGCAATAATTACAAAATTTGAAGTTAGATTTTGATTTGTCCCTTGCACGACCACCATCAACAATGAGACCATCTCCATGACCCTCAGATACTACATGATGCTTCATCTTATCCTTTAATTATAGAGTATCATAGACTTCTTCAATAGTGAAAGTATCACGACTATATAAAAACACGTCTCTAAAATATATGTATGAAGGGGGCAATGAACACAATAAAATCAATCAAAAATCTTCTTCATCATATTTGACTTCCAATGTCTCTAAATCAGCGACAATTTCCTTAAAAGCAGCTAGTTGTTCCTCAAAAGATGTACATTCTGTCATACAATAAGAATATAGGCGTTGTTTCAACTACAATTTGCTAGTAAAACACTTTGTCATGCATAATTACTCCAATTTTAACCATAGTGCAGCGACTGATCTCTCCTTCAAGACTTGAAGAATATTATTTGAAAGATGAAGATGTATTTGAGATAATGCCTTTTGATCTCTTCGTTTCTCCTCCGGAGTTTAAGTTGTGGATATCTTGTCAAATCTCAACAACCGTCGTCAAAATCCATCTGAGCGAGTACTGCTCGCATCTTTACCTGCCATAAAGAGAATCTTGTATTGTGATTTAATAGCGGAATATCATACTTCGTTATTGTCATCACGAAAAACATCAATCTTCTCAAGAATTTCAACAGCAAAAGCTCTGATATCAATTTGTTGTGAAAAGTAGAGATAATACCGGATTAATCTAATACCAAATTATTGGAGAAAATAAGATATTATAACCATAATATGAAGTAATTGATCACAAGAATAAAATAATTTGTAAAGACAGATTTTATTATAATATGAAGAAAAAATACAAAAATTTGTGTTTACAATGTTTTTAACTTCTTACTAAATTATAATGAAGAGCCACTATACATAGGAAATAAACAGAGAACATCCAAACCCTAATAGTAAAGTTGTAGTTGAAGTAGAATACAAGAAACAGAGTAGATGAAGAAAAATCACGCAGGGATAAAATAGACATGTGTCATCTTGGCGCCACCTGGGCGGCGCCGTTGCGCCACGAGCTCGACATCGCAACGCCGGGCCAAAAATTCGTACTCCCAATTGAGCTTTCAAGTAGAATTTCAATTAGAATTCGTGAAGTAAACTTGAATATGATTTCACAATAGCATTTCAAATAAAATTCTTTTTAATGTGTACCTTAATTAGAACTCTCAATTATTTTTAAATAAAAAATTCGGATCACGCTCAAATTCTAACCAGCGTGAAGCTGAAAATAATCAAAAGAATGATCATTTGCAATAAGTAAACTACCTTTACGAGAACACCCAATTGACTAGGGATAGAGTAAGGACGTAGATTTGACCATTTGAATAGTATGGCTATGCAGACTTAGTGTAACTCATTGCATCCCAAGAAAATATGAATGACGAACCTATAACTTATTCAGAAGCGTCAACGAGTAAAAAATAAAAAAATTGGCACAAGGCTATGTAAGAAGAAATTAACTTATTGAATAAGAATAAAACTTGGGAATTGGTAAATAAACATGTGGGTAAACGTAAACCTATTGTAAATGGATTTTTAAGATAAAAGAAGGCGAGTTGAAGAATGGAATATAAGACTTAACACTAAACTTGTATCTAAAGGCTTTTCTCAAAAAAGAGGGTCTTGACTACCACAAAATATTGTCTCCAGCCGTAAAATATACCACAATCAGAGTGATTCTTGCTCTTGTACCTCAATTTAATTGGGAATTTGAGCAAACGAATGTAAATTTGTATTCTTAAATGGTTACCTAGAGGAAACAATAAACAACACGAGGGTTTTGAGGTAAAGGGTAATCAAAACTTGGTGTGTCTTTTAAAGAAATCCCCATATGTACTTAAGTAAGCCCCTGAGCAGTACTGGTAAAAAAGTTTTGATACCTTTGTCTACAGCATTACCTAAAGGAGTAATTATGATAGTTGTTTTTACTTTAGAAAATAGAAGATTAAAAACCCACTTTTATCTTCTCTTCTATGTAGATGATATGTTTTCATATAGTCAAAACATGTCTAGAATCAATAATATTAAAGATAAGCTAAAATTTGAATTTGAAATGAATGATATTGGGTTTACTAGAAAGATATGAACGACGGATATTAAAAAAAATAGATCAGAAAATCAAACATCGTATCTATGTAAAGTATTAGAAAAGTTTCTCTATAAATGAGGGTAATCTTTTGACTGTTCCTTTAGCTTATCACTATATATTGTCTACAGATCAATGTCCTTCAAGTGATGAAGAAAGAAAAGAATGAAATTTATGTCTTACGCTGATGCTATTTATTCTATTATGTATGCTAGGGATCGTAGCTATGGTTTGCACTAGGTCACATGTTTCTTTTGTTACGAGTGTGCTTAGTAGATTTATGTCGAATCCTAGTGAGACCCACCGAGAAGCATTGAAGTAGTTGTTCAAATATCTTAATAGTTCCTCTCAGTTAGGTCTTGTGTTCGACAGATGCAAGGAATTTGCTAGACTTAAGGCTATGTTGACTCCGACTCTGGGGAGAATAGAGATAATAGGAAGTCATCTCCTTCATTTGTCAATAAACTTTGAGCGACTTCCATTAGTTGGAAATCTCAAGTGTTAAAGATTGTTGCCTTGACATCGACTAAAGTGGAAGGTATAGCAGCTAAATATGCTACTCCATCAAAGAAGGTACTGTCTCAACTTGGTTATCGTAACGAAGATGTTATATTATATTTGGTTAGTTAAAGTGAGTTTACGTCACATCAACATGTTTCGGTTCTATCGGTGCTTGAAACAATTTTGTCTTCTCCATATTACTATATCTTTAGAGTCAATAATTTTATATGAGGAACTACTGAACTCAATCACTTGCTGCCGTTACTCTTCAATTTTCTGTTGAGGTCTATCCTGTAGAGGTGCTCAAATTGGATCAGTGATCGATTTCTAGGTTTCGTCGTATTTGGATAGTTAAAGTGAGTTCACGTCACACCAACATGATTCCATTTTCTTTATCAAAGGGAAGTTCATTTTGAGCGTCATGTAATGCTCGTAAAGATTTGTCATAATTTTAAAGTCGCGGGTTGAGCAATTAAAGACTAACTAACAATTAAAACATGTCTGTCAAGATTGAAGATTTGAAGATCCTTTTTGTGTGTCACACATATTGGAATGTTCAAACATGGTACGCGTGATTTACTCGTGACATTTTTTGTCACACATTTCAAGAAGCATTGGAAGAAGAGAAATCGATCGAGGCTAAATCAAAATCCAAGAATCGAAAATAAAAAAACTCGAATTATCATTTAGCTTATTGTCAATTAACGTGGATACAGATAAAAAAGAATACCTAGCACCATCAACATAACGATTTTGATTACTACTCTCTACGCAGTTCCACCAGGGTAAATGCAACCTACATTAAAAAATGTTATGAAGTGTCAAATAAACGCATTTTTCGAATAGCTTGTGGAACAACAATTCCCCAAGAGAAGGAAAACGTGTTTTTTAAGATATCTATTTTTCATTGGGACGAAAATTCCTACAAAATTAACAATTGATTAGATTTGCAACTTCGTCTTCGTGCATGTTTGGCAAAGCTTAAATTATGCATACCTTCTATCATATATTTTGCAGCAGGATTCACAATTACTATTCATTTATTATTCATACATTTTATAGGATCTACAACTTATGATCACTTCTAAAACCCTCCCAAACATGCCCAAATTTCATCTATCAAACCCACATTTTCTAATTCTTCATTTCTAATTTTCACATCGAGTGCCATTAAACAAACGTATCCACCACGAAGGATTAGTGAAACCAGGATATTTTGTTCTCGTCATTAGTTAAAACTTAAAAACTAATCACATCTTGACCTCTATACCATGTTATATCAAGCTTAATAACAGTGGCATGCTCGTGGATAATCCAGAAAAAAAACATAAATTTATTCTATAAGCTAACCTCGTGAAAATAAGTACTTACTAGGATTAGTAGTAGAGAGTGTAGCGGCTTGAAAGAGGTTGCAGTTCCACGAATTCCTGCCAGCAAAAGAGAAGTACCATTGATTAAGCAGTTTGTGATACAACAGTATTTGGACCAAAACAGGGATCACCTTATATTGGCAGGCAATCGAGATGCAGAGATGACAATCATAAAAGTACCACACTAACCTAATCCTGGTGGTAGTGTCACTGGAGTTACGGGAGTAGCGGGAGTTATTGGAGCACGAATTGCAGGAGTTGTTGGCGTTTTTGGATTAGGCATCACGGGAATCGGACTAGGAGTCAAGGTTGTTGCTGATGCTGTTGGAGCGGGAGTCATTGCACTTGGTGCTGGTGTCTGGGCAGATCAACCAAAAAAGATTGAAGGCTCGAAAGGCAAAAATTTCTAAAATTGGTTAAGTTCCATCATTTGTTTAAGGATGAGTTAGAAGATCAAAATATTGTCAACCGTACGTCCGGTCCAATACAATCTAATATTGCTTAACGTGCATGCACTTAATTTTTCCAAGATTTGGTTTCTACTGTGGAAAAGCAAAATCAAGGTTAGTATAATAAATCTATTTACATCATATTAGTCTCATCCATGTCGCTTCATTAAATCAATTTAATGAAGTATTCAAATGCATTCTAGTAAAAGCATTGTGATATCAGAAAACGAGCAAGGTTTCTTGCCTGTGCGCTCTTTGAAAGACCAGGATCATAAATCATGGAAAGATCGGGCCTGAAGAGCCCAAAAGACCGCTCTGAGCCCGGACCAGGTTTCAAATTCTCGTCATAGAGTGCAAAGATGTATGTATCCACAGATTTTCCGGGCATTAGTGGTGTGCCAACCTTTGATCTGAGGTGGTTTATCAAGTTCCCGTTATAGTTTTTTGCGTTGTCCAAACTTGGGCCAACTTCATTTGGGTCTCCTTTATAAGGCCATCCCGTCTCAGCAACCACAATCTCAACATCCTTGAATCCCATTGCACTCAATGCCGAGTGTACAGAATCAACCTATACCGTACAAAATTTGACTAGAAAACCATGTTAGTACAAACTTTCCATGATCTCGTGGTTCAATTTCTTGCTAATTTTCGTGTACTCTCTAAATTTGCGACTAGATTTAGTAATTTACCTGGGCATCGAACATGTTCATGTATTTAATACCCGTTCTTGAGTCCACTCGACCAGCATTTGGTTGAAACAGACAGAAAGCCAACGTGTCAGGCCTCGGATCACTTTGATAGGCAAAGAAAGGGTACGGATTGATCATAAAAGGTGAACTGTTATCACTTTGAAACTGCAATAACGCTTTCAATGTGTCTCCAAAAGTAGGATTGAAAGCCCCTGCTGATGGTGGTTCCGACTGGCCCAATACTGCCATGGAATGAACAGTCGAGACCTTGATTTTTCCACCTAGTGAAGCTGCAATACATTGTAAACCATTCAATACATGTTATTCCGTCACTCATTTTTGATAAAAGTTTAATACTGAACATCCAAAGAGAAATTCAAATTTCATTTTTCTTTCTTCTCTTTTCTTTCCTTTCCCTTTTTACTTCTCCTTCTTCCCTTTTCTTTTCCTTTTTCAAAACTGCCACCATGAAGTTTTGTTTTCAAACCACTCTTTTTCAATCAGAGAACATGACTTTTCGCTCTTGGGCAACCAAGTTTATAAGCCATATATAAACGGTCGAAAAAGGGTCAAACCAATTTTGATTTACACATTTCATGGGACCCCAACACAAGCTCATTGTTCATCAGATGGATACTTGTATAAACTTGAGGTACATTCTTTATTTTACTTTGTGTAATTCTGCTATGATTTGTTGACAAAAATATACACAAACAACTTTAACCTTCCCGAAGAAATTTCTTAGATGCTAAGAACAAAATGTAGTCCATCTTATGTCATTTTACATACCTGTCAAGTACAGAGTATACAGCCTCAAAGTACAAAAAAGCCAGTTCTACTTGTGGCTCTAGGAAAGATCATCGAACTCATTGGATTGGTATATGGATTTGGCGAGGGTTGAAATTGAAGTTGGTTCAAACAAAGACATCTCGTGACTAATTTGAAGCAAAACAAATTTCAAATTCATCGGTAATTATTACCTGCATTGAGGGCATTTTGGACATTTTGCATGGCGGGTAAGAGATTGGACAGTAGATTCTGATCCCCTGAGGTCACGACCTCGTTACCAACAGAGACGACAATGATATTGCTCGCCGGGTAATACGCCATCACATTCGAATTGACCCATTGGCCCGCGAAGTTCGGGTCGGAAGCCATCGCAGGAATATCCCCATTAGCGGCGCCGATCACGATTCCAATACCGGAGTTCGCCAGCGCCTTGATAATCGCCGGGTCGGCTCCGTACAGCCGCACCTTCTCGAAGCTTGTCGACTTCAAGAGCTTCGCCGTGGCTTCCGGCGGCGGAAGGTTGTCGGCAACTATGCCGTAATTTACTCCAACAAACGACTCCGATTCTGTAAAAGTACAGTAAAAGAGTGAGTCTGACTGAGTTGACTCGGTGGCCAAGATTTGATATACGAATTGGATAGTATTGAGCTAATATCTAGGCGGGCTGTCGGTTAATTGCATGAAAAGAAAAGAACAGAAAAAGAGCAATCCCACGAAGTGAAATTGAAAATAGAAAGTGCAAACCGACTTACTTGAAGAGCAAAAACACTGCAACAAAAAGCAAAGTAGGAAGAAGATGGAAGGTTTCTGCATATTTGAAGCTTCGGCTATGGCGTTGAGGAGTGGACGGCTCAAATAAGAATGAATACGGTGGTTCCAATTGAGGCGAGTGAAGGCGGAAGCGGCTGCCGGTGGTGGAGGAATTAGGACACGTTGAGGATACAATGAATGATGAATCTATTCAAGTACTTGTAGCAGAAGGAAAAATAAAAAAGTAAAGAAAAGAATAATTCGTTACTTTATTCACATAAAGGAGTGGCCCAATGAAAATGGTGGGTTTATTTTTCTTCTTTCGATTTTACTCTTGTTGAATTAAAGGAAAAGACAGTAGCCATTTTTGTTCTCTATCATTCTCAAAAGGTCTTTCACAGTGGACGTAAGCTGTGCCTTTTCAATTTGTTGTAGGCTTTTTCACATATGTTGGGTCAGTTGTAATTCTCATGTGCTTTGTTGACCTTCTTTATATTGTTTTACTTAGTCGAGAAGGCTTTGATCACTTTCGAACACGCAGGACAATTTTAAAAGAAAAATGCTAGAAGTACACAAATGTGTACCTAAGGGTGTCCATAACTCCATCCAGTGGGAGGACGTCGGGTGTTTATTATGGACACCCTTAAGTACACCCTTGTATACCTGTAGCAAATCTCATTTTAAAATGGACAAAATTGAAAAATATAGGCAATCTTAGGTTAAGTCCTGTTTGGTGTAGCTTAAAATTTTGATAAAAATTAAAGCTAAAATTAATACTTTATTAAAACGTATATTTTATAAAATTCACAACTTTTATAAATTTTTCAACAGTACATTTTATCTTTTTTTTTTTAATCGAAATTTTTTAAAAATCTGATTTTTAACTACACAAAATAGGGGTTAAATGATATTTAGTCCCTGACCGGTAAACGGTAGATAAAAATCTAAGTTAACTTTAATAATTAACACTATTTTAAAATTATCAACTTTTCAATAACATATTTCATCATTTTTTATCAAATTGTATCGAATTTTCTCTTAGGTCCAATTTTGTAATTAGCAAAATTAACAATTTCTAAATTTGTAATTGACAATCTTTAATCAAAATCAAGTACTAGTTGAATTGTACTATGAGTTTATTGAATTGTAATCAAAGTTAAAATAGTTAAGGATTTGTTGTATATGTCTTGAAGGATTCCAAGATGTATGTCCAGAAGATCACATATGACCAAAGAAATGCAATTAGAAATATAAAAAGTGTCAAAGAGTTGCACAAGTTATACTCCAAATTCTCAATTGCAATTTGCAACACATTTTTCACACGGAAAAATATTGAAATTTGACAAGGCTAGTTCTAGAAGAATTGTAGCCATTTGCGTTAACTTTTCAATGTACTTTGAATCATCTTAATCGGATATCGAGAGAGAAAGTTATGACGAAAATATTAACCTTTACTCCAATGCTGGCTTGACGCTCGAGCGACTTGATTATCCGAGGAACAGTAAATTTCGATTTTCAAGCTGATTTTGAGTTCATTTTCATTCCAAACACTATCCATAATAAATATACATCCTAGGAAACATCAAGAAGTGTGGTTGAACAATATTTTGATTATAGAGATCATTCTTTGAAGATCCAAACATCATTTCATTGATTCCTTAATTCAACCACAATATTATTTGTTCATTATTCAACTTATATATTGCTCCAATTAGTAAGGCCTTGTTGAAAGTCGAGTTTGTTCTTCGAAAGCCAAAAACATATTCCAATATCTCTTACATCAGTCTACAAGATCAAAACACAGAAAGATCATTGATCAAACACCAAATCTACATTCGCCAATTAGTTTTCAGAGTTGCTGGAGTTTTGGAAAAAGGCGCTTGGAGTTCCGGCACGAAACAAAGGTGATTTTGTAGAGAAACTCAACTAAGGGTCTATTTGATATGACTTTTGAAAATTAAAAAAATATATATATTTTGAGACCCCAAAATTAAAAAGAAACAATATTTTTGTGCCGGATAAAACACTTTTTTCTTCCTTGCGAGATCTTAGAGAAGCTTAAAAATGCTCTAACTCAACTTTTATGGAAAGCTTAAATTTTTATATAATGCAGCATTTAAATTAATTTTTTTTCTTGATTCATTCCACCAGCAAGACTCGTTCATATTAAAACAATGAAGAAGATATCGAATTGCTTTGATACCAATTTGATGTAATAATAGGCAAGAAAAAAATATGGCACAATATGAATTAACTGATCACAAATTCAAGAACAAGATAATTTGAAGAGGAAATGTGATTTCACTAAAATATGGAGAAATAATACAATGATTTTGTATTTATAATTTGTTTAACTTGTAATGAGGTTAAACAACCTATCAAATTTGTAGAGAAACGCCAAATACATATAGGGGACGTCCAAAAACTCCAGTCTTGGTGCTGTAGAAGGAATAGAATGCTGAAACGCTGGTAAAACACGAAAATGAGTCTAGGCCGGACGTATACGCCGCTTGAACTCCAGGCTGCCGCCAAGGTTCTGCGGATTATTTGACGACATAGCTCGAGCGCCATAGCTAGCTACCAACTACGGAAATTGCAGCGACTTTTTCTCCCCAATTCATAGCTTGATCTATTCAATTTCAATATAAATTTCAACTTTCAATTGGACTTCCAAATAGAACTTCAAATTCACCTGAATTCTTAAAATATGTTGATTAATCAAAGATTTTGTTTAGCACAGCAAGACACATGACTGAAATTTTCTCTGTCCCTTCAATAAAACATTAGCTCATTTACTAACTTTCAAGACTTCACGTTCAACAATGTACTCGTATCCTTTTGAATTAAGAGTACTCAATGAGATAATTTTTTTCTTCAAATCTGGAACGTGTCTCATTGTATCAAGTGTTCTTATCATACTATCAAACGTCTTTATTCTAACTCGACCAATACTGTTATCCTACAAGGTATATTATTTCTCATTACTACAACATCTTTTGAAACCGTTTCATATGTTGAAATAAGTCCCGATTAGGACACATATGAAAAGTGCAAGTTGTATCAATAATTCAATCCTCGTCAAGTTTGGAGTCATAGTCAGAAATAAGTAAAAGTTCTCCTTCAGTGTGACACGTTTATGCTACAATGGCTTCACCTGAAGTATTTAATTGATTTCCTTTCTGAAAAGTTACAATCAAATTCTCTATTCTGTAATTTATAGAAATACTTAATTAAGTGCCCTGAATTTTTACAATAAATTTTGAAGTTAGATCTTAATTTGCCCATTGAACAACCACCATCAAGAACAAGGCCATCTCCATGAACCTCAAAAATATTATTCATCTTCTAATTTGAATGGTGGGAGTATCACGACAATATAAAATCGTGTTTCTAAACAAACAAATATGAAGAAGAAAAAAACATAGCAAAATCAATTCCATGTAAGTGAGCACAGCTTGCATCCTAATTTACCACAATAAAAATCTTGTACTGCGATCTAATAACGAAATATCAAACTTGGTTGCCATCACAAAAAATAAAAATAAAATAAAATAAAAAAAATCTCCCCATGAATAAAACCTTAACTCTGATACCAATTATTATAAAAACGAAAAAAATATTGAATTGCTCTAATACCAATTTGTTCTAATAATAGATGAGAAAAGAAAATATGGCACAATATAAAATAATTGATTACAAACTCAAAAACTAGATAACTTGCAGAGGAAATGAGATTTCACTAAAATAGGGATAAAGAATACAATGGTTTTGTATTGATAATTTGTTTAACTTGTAATGAGGTTAAATAACATATCTAACTTGTAGAAAAGAGCCAAATATATAGGAGACATCAAAAAACCCTAGTCTTAGGGTGCGTTTGATTGCAAGGGTGGAAAATGGGTGGAACGAAAATGAATTCCAGGGAATTGAATTACCTAAAAATTATTTTACGGGAAATTGTTGATTAATTGTGTTTGATTGGTATAATTTTCCCCCTAGAAAATGTTGGAATTTTCCATTTTTTGGTGTTTGATCCGCTTCGTTTCTCATGGAAAATTGTGATTTTATTAATCTCCAAGAAACCATCAACACATATATGCTCGTTGTTCATAACATTCACACAAGAAACAATACCGCAACATTCAAATCAGAAAAAAAATAAAAATGGAAGCACCTGCTCTAAGCCTCTGATAAAATAATTGTCAACTACACAATTTCTTAAAACCATTAACCTCAACAAATCAAATAGACAAATATTTAGAATCCCTCAAACATAGAAGTAAGCTCATATCAGTATCAATTTATAACCCATAATGAAGACTTCGTGGAATATTTTCAAATTTCAGATGAACTGAATAAAACGGCAGAACAAACAAAAAAACAACAAGAATCAGTAGCCCACGTACCCATTTTGACGTCGGAGGAAGCGATGGACCTTCTTCGTGAGAGAGAGCAGCGAACACGACCGTCGGCTGGGCTAAAGAGAAAATGGCAGCTATCGATTCAGCATGAGAGAAGAGAATCGGAGTGGCTTCTAGCGTGGAGAGAAGGGAAAGGGAAATGGCGTTGCTACGGGAGAGAAAAGGGTTTGCTTCTTTCAATTGTAGGGAAAGGACGTAGCTTGCGGGAGAGAAGGGTTTCCTTCTTGCAGGGAAAGTCGATTCCCAGATGAAACGAGGGAAAGTGTATTCCTCAATTTGGTGGAAAATAGGTCACGTGAGGGGAAAATGAGAAAATGTTTTCATTGGAAAATTTAGCCTATCAAACATGTCAAAAAGTGGGAATTAGAATTTATTTTCCATCTTTCATGAAAAAGCTGCCTATCAAACAGGGCCTTAGTGTTATAGAAGGAATAGAATGTTGAAAACACATGTAAAACGCTTGTATGTACACGCCGCGCGGGCATCAAGGTTATGCTAGTTATTTGACAACGCCGCTTAAAGTGCCATAGCTGCTAGCAAAATTGCGACGGCTTTTTCTCCCCAATCCGTAATTTAATCTTTTCAAGTCCAATACAAATTCAAATTCCCAATTGAGTTTCTAAATAAACTTCAACTAAAATT